TTCCCAACCCCTGGGCCACAGATCAGTTTCTGTCTGTGGCCTGTTACAGCAGGAGGTGAGTGGTGGGTGAACAAGCATTATCACCTGAGCTCCACCTCCTGTCAGATCAGCAGTGCGATTAGATTCTCATAAGAGTGTGAACTCTATTGTGAACTGTGCTTGCAAGGGATCTAGGTTGCATGCTTCTTATAAGAATCTAACACCTGATGATCTGAGGTGAAACAGTTTCATCCTGAAACCATCCCCACCACCCTGACCCTGGACTGTGGAAAAATTGTCTCCCATGAAACCAGTCCCTGGTGCCAAAAATGTAGGGGGCCACTGATTTAAATTATAAACGAAATGTCTCCCAGTGTGAGCTTGGTCCAAGTTCAGGAATAATTAAGGGCAGTTTGAAGGCTGTACTGCCCAGTTTGGTGGGGTTGGTTAGATCAGATCTCTTTCACTACCATAATTTTCTTGTTCATATAATTTTCACAAAGGCAGTTTCATGTGTAGCCAGGATTACAGTTGTGAGCCATTGCCCCCAATTCTCTTTGCCTATTTTTAGATTGGGTTTAAATGCTCTTATTGTTGTTTTTGAAAAATAATGTATGCTTTTGGTATCATATATAAGAAATATTTGCCTAGCCCAAAGTCATAAAGATTTATTGCCATGATTTTATCTAACAAATTGTGTAGTTTTAGCTGTTACATCTAAGTCTGTGATTCATTTTGTGGAAAAGGTTCAAACAAATGATCTTGCATAAGGATACTCAGTTTCCCAGCATCATTTGTTGAAAAGACTGTCCTTTCTCCACTGAATTGCCTTTGTTCTTTTGTCAAACACCAGTTGTCCATAAATGTACAGGTCTATTTCTGGACTCTCTGTTCTATTCCATTGATCTATATATCTGTTTTTATTGAAAGTGTTTTGTTTTATGATTCATTATTAAGTCTTGAAATTTGACTTATCTGGAAGCTTTCCAGCCAGTCATTTATCAGACTAATTTAGATGGTAAGGGTTGTAGGGGTGGAGGGCAAGCTTCCTTTTTGCCATCTTTGAAGATTCGCTGAAATACTGACAGCAGACAGATTCATAAGAGAAAAAGGCATACAGATTTATTTATGTATGCCTAGACTTGGAAGTCCTTCAAATATGAGTCTCAAAGAAAGGCCAGATAGATGGTCAGGGCTTATGTACCCTCTTCACAGGGGAGAGGGAAATGGGGGCTATAGGAAATTTTAGAGGGGCAATAAATGATTTTCAGGGGAAATGAATGAGCCCAAATAACAATGGCCTGGGGACAAAGTTCCTCTGAGCTCTAGGGAAGCTGCTGGGAAGGTGAGGGGCAGAACTTCATTTGTCTTATTATTCAGGTAAAAGTCTTTTAGGTAATCTCTCTGAGCTGCCCTCAGAAGAATAGATGAAAAGTCTCTCTGGGCATGGTGATGACTTTTAATCTCTTCTCTTTTCTGTGGTTAATCTTTCCTAGTTATTTGATGAAACTCCTAGAGAGAGGTCTTAAGGCAATTGCATTTCTTTTGGACAGAAATTTCGCTAGTCAGCTAAGGAAATTCTAGAGATCCTCCCTCCTTGCCCTTGGTGAGGAGTGGGAGAGAAACAAGAGAAGGTTAGAAAGTTAGGCAGCTTCTAAGGACTTCCAATTTCTTCTATTCAAAGTACTCAGCATGCCAAAGCGTCATGCTTTGGAGTTGTCATTCTCTACACCCTAACAGGGGAAATACTTAGGAGGTTTGGCATGCAGAAGTGGACATTTCTCTTCAATGTGTTAGTCATTCAGAAGCAATTTACTTAATTCCAACTGTGTGGCAGAACATGATGCCAGGCACTAACTCCCATAGATGCCATGGTGGGCCTTGGGGCAAACACAAATCCCCTGCTAGGAAGTCATTTGAGGGGATTTGTGAATCTATTTCCTGAGTTTCTGTTTTTTCCCCATGATCCGGCAGGCGTTCAAGAACCCACAGCTGAGTGCATGGCTAAGGTCAAATGCAAAGTGTAGGTGACTAATCTTTTATTTATTCAACAAAAGTTCTTTGAATATCTACTGTGTGAAAGGCACTGTGCCAGACATTAAGCATTTGCAGTGAGGACCCAAGACAGGGCCCTGTCTTCTTAAGGGAATTATGAATACATTTATGTATATTGTCTACATAAAACTATTCTATAAGTAAAATGATGATTGGTGTAATCCAAAGAATATGGGAGTGCAGAAGAGGGAAATCATCACTGTCTGGATGACATTAGAACTTGACCTAGTAGGAAAAGTAAGATTTCTGTAACTAAAGGAGGAGTGGGGACAGGAAGGCATTTCAGGTAGAAGGAATACTGAGTATAAGTAGAGAGAAATATCACAGCAGAGGTTTTAGACTGTGACCTCAAGTATTCAGCAGACATTTTTTTTTTCTTTTGAAATGGAGTCTCGCTGTGTCGCCCAGGCTGGAGTGCAGTAGCGTGATCTCGGCTCACTGCAAGCTCCGCCTCCTGGGTTCACTCCATTCTCCTGCCTCAGCCTCCCAAGCCGCTGGGACTACAGGCGCCCGCCACCACGCCAGGCTAATTTCTCCCATTTTTTAGTAGAGACAGGATTTCACCGTGCTAGCCAGGATGGTCTCGATCTCCTGACCTCGTAATCCTCCTGCCTCGGCCTCCCAAAGTGCTGGGATTACAGGTATGAGCCACCGCGCCTGGCCTTCAGCAGACATTTTGTTTCAAAATCTCTCTTAGGTTTCAGGAATGGATATGAAGCTCTAGTTAGAGCACTGGGACCTGAGCATCTTGCAGTAAACCCACAGCTGTCATGTGGTTCACTTTCAGAAGTGTGGCCTCTGATTTGCTAGGTGTTACCTGGCTCTAATCTGCTCTTGGTGAAATTTGTCACTTTAAAAGGGAGGGTGCTCAGGGGCTGGAGAGAAAATAACTTCCACTTAGATTTCAGCTTTAGTAAGAGACATTAATGCAGTACCTCTTCTGTGACACTGGGCTTTTACAACTGGGGAAACTAGTTTTTGAGCATCTGTGGTCCAGAGATCTCTTTTGAGTAGACTAGAATCTGGAAGTTTGGCAAACTTATGATGTCATTTAGGAAGTGATCACTTTGAAACTTTTAATCCTCCTACAGAAAGTATATTTCTGTTGCAGAGATTAATTTAACAAGAGTGTATATAGCATCTGTCAAATTTTTAATTAAGTAATTAAAAGAATAAACCTGCATTTATAATTCCATTCCAAACATATCAGTTCCCCAGATATGATTTTGGGTGGTTTTATTTTAGAAAAATGTGAATCGTGGTACTGGGGACCAGGAGTGTCATCTGGATTTAAGGAAACATTCTTTTACAGGGAAGAGGTGTTAAGCATCAGAATGGATTGTAGCAGTGGCAGTGGCATCTCATCATCTGGGGGTGTCTTTAAAAATAGTTTTAGTGTTCCTCTCCTTGTGTCAGTTGTCTTGATCATAATCCTGGGTTATTTCAAAGGTTTAATGAAGAGGATGCAACCAGTTGTTCTCAGTTGTTTATTTGCAAGGACCCAAGGAAATGAGCTTATGTTTAAAGAGGAGTGAATTACTTTGCATATAAAGTATCTGAAAGTATCAGAGTATCATCAAAACCTTAAAACTGTAAAATATGCTATGAAGAGACCCCTAGATTTTCCAATCCTTGAGACTTGAAAAAAGGAGATGAAGGAACCACTTGTGTCATGCCTATCCTAATCTCTCACCTTAGGAAATAATGCTCTGAAAGGGACACCAGGAAGTGCCCATGATGGCATGACCAGAAGGTATCTGCACTCCTGGCTAGCTGCACCTTTCCTGGAGCTGTATCTACCAGTGGATTCTGTTACTTGCCCAGCACTTACCCCACTCTCTGAGGACCTTGCTTCCTCTGAGTCTGCAGTGTGACTCATATCGTAACCATTCCAGCAAGTGGCTCACTGTTCGGTTAAGGACAGAGCCGTATAAGACATTATCCAGGAAGTAGATGAAGTTAATTTTTGAAGTTCAGGTAGTTCTTTTATTGTGTGTGTGTGTGTGTGTGTGTGCATGCACGTGTGTGTTGAGGTTATAGGTCAGGCATTGACAACCTATAGTTCATTTGACTAAAGCCCCAAAAAAGATGATTCAGCTCAGAAGTATTCAGGGCATTTGCCACAACCAGCACTTTAATCAGAATTGCAAAGTAGTTGAAATTTTTATTTGTCACATCCTTATATTCCTTTTCTGATGCTTCTCTCCCCACTCACCAGCTGCCCAGGGTCTTCAGACTGCCTTTTACCTGGAATCATATCATGCCCCTGCCCTGCAGTGCTACTCCCCTACATGTTATTCCATCTTGTCACCAACCATGATTAAGATTTCTTTGAAACCAATGATAGGTAGGAATGAAGAGAAAGTCAGTCTGGTAAAGTGACCTTGTGTTACAAGCAGATGACTTGAGAGGTTGCTGTATCTGTCCCAGGAGCTCTCTTTTTTTGTTGTTTCAAAGACAGAATGTTTTTACTTGAATACATCTCTACGTTTATAATGATTAATTTGAATCTGATTTATGAATTTGGTGTAACATTACAAGAGAGTCATTAGCTGGGAGGATTTGATGAGGAAATACACATTTTTTGAACTAGTGTGAATTTTGGTCATGGATATAATTTAAATAAAACTAATTTAAAATTCTTTAAAATAACCTTTGCAAGATTTTTATTTTAAAGTATTTACAATTCTGTTTTAAAAGCTTTTCAGTAAAAGATGGAATTTAAAAATATAGTGGAATCTCTTTAAAACAGTGGTGGTAAAGGATAAGACTGTAATAGTATCATTATAGACTACCTGTGTCAAACAGACTTTGTTACCCATAATTATATTTTTTAAGTCATGGCACACAGATGAACCATGTCTAATTAGCTATTAGTATTATAATAGCATTCTACTTAGTTGTCTTTGTCTTTGTAAAGGTAAACTGAGGCTGGAGCCCAACCGGGAACGAAGACACAAGGCAAATGGCAGTGAGAATAGCCTTTACTAGGACTCGCAGGCGAGGTTCCTCGGTCCAAAGGTGCGGGCCGAGGAAGTCACGCTGAGGGAGGAGGGTAGGGGCTTTTTACAGCCCGAGAGGTAGGGAAGCTGGTTGTACAAGCAGGGCCTGGGGGGCTCTTGAAACTACTAGGGCAGGAGTCGAGTAAGGGTCATGAGGAAGGGGTCTTTGGAAACTGTTAACCGAAACTGCTGTTTACGAACTTGTGGAATGCAGGTGAACTGCAGGTCATGGGGGAGTGTGGTTGCCCAGCCGGAACTCTGACGCATGTAAGTCTGCGGGTGTGTACAAGGGTGAAGGGAGTCTTTAACAAAAGGCCTGCTACGCTGGGTAACGCCGCCATGTTGGGTGTAGATTCCTAGACCCAACATTCCGACCTCTTTCTAATAAGAAAATGGGGCGACGTGTTCCTCTGGCTGCTTCCTGCTGGTATGGGTCCTCGTGGGGTTCTTCGGAGGTCGGAACTCGGGTATAGGTGTGGAGCAGCATCTGATTGAAAGTGACATGGGAGACTTCTTTCATGCAGTCCTGGATGAAGCGGAGGACACAGGGAGCTATGAGTAGCAAGAAACCAATGATTAGTAAGGGGCTTAGAAAGGGTAGGATTTAACCGGCCACAGACGACTGCCACCATCTAAGTGAGGGCCTTGATCCGAGGTTTTTCTGGTAGAGTCTTTCCCGAATCTTTTCTAGAGTGAGGAGATTGGTTTCTACTAGTCCTGACTCATTGATGTAGTGTTCGGCCAGGAAGGGGAAAGGAGGAGGTCAGATTAGAGGAGTTAAAAGGGCTGGGTAAGGTTACCGCAACCAGTGGGGGCGTATTCAAGGCTGCACACAAGAAACAATGAGAGATGTTGTGTACCTCGGCCATGTGTACCACTTGAGCCCCTTCCCTGACTAAGGTTAGCCAGGAAAAAGGGTTGCTGCTGTCCTGGGGCTTGCTGCCTGGGCTAGAGCTGAGATGGCTTCCTCCTGTTGTCTGATGTCAGAGGCCAGGCTGACGAGGCTGCTTACGACCTTGATGTAGGCCTTAAAGATCCTGAGTCGGGCCACGGGATAAGACTCACTGTGCCCACCAGTCCTAGGAAGGACAAGATCTCTTCCGCATCCTGAGGAGGCTGGAGAGTTTCAATGAGGCTTATTCTGTGTGCTGTGAGGCTTTTTGTAGTGGGTGTGAGGAGTATGCCTAGGTAGGTGACAGAAGGGCTGCAAAGTTGAGCCTTATCCGGGGTAACCTGATAACCTTGGTCGCCTAGAAAATTTAAAAGTGTAGCAGTATCTGCAAGGGAATACTCCTAGGAAGGACTACATAGTAATAAGTCATCGACATACTGTAATAGTGTGCTGTGGGTCAGGGGACAGAGGACAACATCCTGTGCCAGTGCCTGTCCGAAAAAATGGGGCCTATCACGGAACCTTTGAGGCAAAACAGTCCAAGTCAGCTGGGAAGAAATATGAGTGTCTGGATCTTCCAATGTAAAAGCAAACAGAAAGTGGCGGTCTGGGTGTAGAGGGATGGTAAAGAAGGTCAAGGACAGTGAAATGGGTGGTGTCAGGGGGAACGCACGAGAGGAGTGTATATGGATTAGGAACAACTGGAAAGGTAGAGACTACTGCCTCATTGATGAGGCGTAGGTCCTGCACAACACAATAGGCCCCAGAGCTTTTCTGTACAGGCAGGATAGGAGTATTGCATGGTGAGTTGGCGGGAACTAGAATGTGCTGCCGGAGCAGGTGTGTAATGATGGGTTTTAGTCCTTGTCGGTGTTCAAGGGAGATAGGGAACTGGGGCCTAGAGGGAAACTTAGAAGGGTCTTTTAGCCAGATGTGGACTGGAGTGTGGTGCTGGGCAATGATCAGGGTGGAGATGTCCCACACCTCAGGGTTAATGGGGACTGGAAACGGGAGTGGGGGGTCAGCCTGGTGAGGTTTGTCAGGTGAGAGAAGAGGGAAGAGGAACGTGAGGTGGGGGGAGGGGTTGGGTCAGAAGTGAACTGAGGCCCGTAGCTTGGAGAGGAGATCTCGTCCTAACAAGGGGACTGGGCATGAAGGAATAAGAAATGAGTGCGAGAAGAGGGAGCCATCCAAGCGGCAAGACAGAGGAGGAGTCTGGCGGTAGGTGGAGGGAGTGCCATCAATTCCCATGACTGTGACAGTGGAGGGGTGGCTGGGGCCACTAAAGGAAGGCAAAACAGAGCAGGTAGCCTCTGTGTCCATGAGGAAAGATATGGACTTACCCGCTACCTGGAGCATAACCCTGGGCTCGGTGAGAGTAAGAGGGGTTCCCGAGTCTGGGCCTCTTCAATCTTCGTCGGTGTCGAGGAGTTGGAAGGCGCCTCCAGTACCTGGAGGAGGGTCGTCACCTGGAGACGTAGCGACCGTCCTCAGGTTGGGGCAGTCCGACTTCCAGTGGCCCATCTGCCGACAGTTCGGACAGGGGTGGGTTGGCTCCTTTGGGTTGGGGCACTGCTTGGCCCAGTGGCTGTCATTGCTGCACTTGAAGCAGGCACCAGGTGGCGCTCGGGTAGTACCTCCTTTCTGGGAGCTCCTGGAGCCGGCCGGTCTCAGGGCTGCTACCAAGGCCTGGGTTTGGAGTTGTGCCTTCTGTTTTAGCCTGGCCTGTTGTTGGGCCTCAGCTGCTTCCTCCCTGGAGTTGTAGACCTTGAAGGCCAGTTTGACTAAATCCTGGATGGGAGTTTGAGGGCCTTCCTCCGCCTTTTCAAACTTTTTTTGGATATTGGGGGCCGACTGAGAAATAAAGTATGAAGCTAAGATGGCTCCTCCTGCAGGGGAGGCAGGGTCAAGGCGGGTGTACTGAATAAGTGACTCTGTCAGTCAGTTAAGAAAAACAGCCGGATTTTCATCTGAGCCTTGGACTACCTCCTTTAACTTATTAAAATTGACTGACTTATTGGAGGCTGCCTGCATGCCAGCAAGAAGGCACTGGACCATCATATCTTGGCGGCAGCGGCCTGCCTGACCAACCTGCTAGTCCTAGTTGGGCTCGGCTGAGGGCACTGCCTCAGTGCCAACTGGCATGGTGTGGTCAGTTAAATGAACCTGGTCAGCGTGCTGCCTGGCTGCCGCTAGGATACACTCCTGTTCCTCAGGGGACAGGGTTGAGGTCATAACGACATGGGGATCATGCCAGGTGAGGTCATACGCCTGGCACAGGTATCTGAAGTTTTTGAAATAGTGAGTGGGGTTGGCTGAGAAAGAGCCTACACGTTCTTCAATCTTAGACAGGTCTGCCAGTGAAAACAGCACATAGACCCAGACTACTCCTTCGGCACCTGCCACCTCTCGCAAGGGACACAGGAGGTCGGTCCTGGACCGAGTGTGGGCTGAGGCATGTGAGGAAGGGGAGGAGGTGGAGCTAGGGGAGACAGAATCTGTCGGGTTTGGCAAGGGCACAGGAGAGGTGGAAGGGAGGGGAGGCGCTGACGAGGATGGGGATAATGGCGGGTCAGGGTAAGGAGAAGATTGGGTGGGAGACCAAAGGGGTGGCCGGATAGGGTGTGAGGAGGCTCAGAAAAAGAGGAGGAATCATCCCTTTCCTTGCTCGAGGGAAGAGACTTTGTGAGTAGGACCTGAGCTAACGAGCATTGAGCACAGAGATCTGGGTGAGAACGCAAGTCCCAAAAGGCTTGAACATAGGGTATCTCGTACCATTTGCCTAGTCTCTTGCAGAAGTTGGTCAGATCCGTGAGGATGTTAAAGTCTAGAGTACCTTCTGCAGGCCACTGAGACTGATTATCCAATTTATACTGCGGTCATGCTACTGTGCAGAAGAAAATGAGCTGCTTTTGTTTTAGGTCTTGGCTGAGACTTAAAGTCTGGAAATTAGCCAAGAGGCACCTCAGAGGGGATTTTTGGTTTGGTTTGGACTGGATAGTTCCCATGGTCCTAAGGCAGGCAGTCCGGCGGCAATGGGAGCGTCCTCCTACTGCCATGTGGAGTGCAGGGTACGGCAGCTTCTGGGGAGGTTGGACGTCTCCTAGTCCCCGGTGCCAAGGTTACAGTTGACCGGAGGGAGCCCCTGAAGTGGCCACGCGTTTTGGACAGGGACTTCCCGGAGGGAGCCTACAGGACGGGGGAAAACTTACCCAGCAGTGAACAAATTGAGTCTTGGATTTAGTGAAATGGCTCCTGGCTTGGAAAGGAGGTCCTGGCTCGGGAAGAGGAGAGCCTACCCGACCTGGCAGGGGTCCGGGGAGGGGGTCTCCTCCTGGGTTTCGGCACCAAATGTAAAGGTAAACTGAGGCTGGAGCCGAACCGGGAACGAAGACACAAGGCAAATGGCGGTGAGAATAGCCTTTATTAGGACTCGTGGGCGAGGTTCCTCGGTCCAAAGGTGCGGGCCAAGGTAGTCGCGCTGAGGGAGGAGGGTCGGGGCTTTTTATAGCCCGAGAGGTAGGGAAGCTGGTTGTACCAACAAGGCCTGGGGGGGGTCTTGAAACTACTAGGGCAGGAGTGGAGTAAGGGTCATGAGGAAGGGGTCTTTGGAAACTGTTAACCGAAACTGTTGTTTACGAACCTGTGGAATGCAGGTGAACTGCAGGTCATGGGGGAGTGTGGTTGCCCAGCCAGAACTCTGACGCATGTAAGTCTGCGGGTGTGTACAAGGGTGAAGGGAGTCTTTAACAAAAGGCCTGCTACGCTGGGTAACACCGCCATGTTGGGTCTAGATTCCTGCCTAACAGTCTTTATATTACAACCACACATTTTCACTTGTTTCAATCAAAATTTTGTTTCCTTGAGTAGGTTTTCTCGTTAGACATGTTAAGTGATTTTGACCCTTCCTTTCCCAGCTTTTTCTTTTGCCCAAATTATGAGAAAGTAGGAGGAGTAGGAAAAAGGTGAGCATAATAAGGATATCGATTGGTTTCTCCTCTTTTTCTTATGCTGGTGTTAAAAATTGCTCTTGAAATAGTAGTACTTACCGTGATTTTTTTGAGGTGATGATAAAGAGTTTAAAGAAAGATTTATATAAGTAAGGAGCTAGGAGGATATTTGAAAAACCTGTAAAAGGTAATACCCATATTTTCCTGCCAAACAGACAGAATACTGGAAAGAAGCATCCTTAGTCTTATCTAAAATACCTCCTCCTCTTTTTAAAGATTGCACAATAATATTTGTTAGCTGTTCTTCCCTCTCTCATATATGGAATGGGTAATGCTGATGCCTTTACAAACCGATGCTCGTTTGTTAGACATTGTAGTATGGAGTTTGTCTAGAATACATCTTTAGTAAAAACTAACTCCAAGGAACTGTACAGATAGCAATAAAGATACACTATGTAGAGTATATTGATTTCTGAATTTATTTTTCCCTTTCAGTTACATTATAATTGCCCCACACCAAGATCTGTACAGCTATGCAAGAGATGAAAAATCTATAGGTTCAGGGGAAAATGTGAGCAAAAATAGATTTTTTATGTGTTTTCTTGCTAATAAAAGGGAAGATAGGAAAGATAGAGACCTAAACCCAAACCAAACCAGAACCAACCAACCCAAACCTCAAACTGTTACAGAAAAGTTACCTACTTGAAAATATTTACAAATGGAAATAGCCTTTTAAAAAGGTTACTGAAACCATGGCGAGACTGTATAGAAGAGAATAAAAATACCTAGGTGAAACAGTGACTAAAATACCCCAAATCTTAAAGTGTTTATCTGTAATATATTAATAAATGTTTTTATTCTATTTAACTACCTAGTTCCACCTTGTGGTGAAAGACTAGAAAAGGCCATTCAGTTTTTGCATTTTAATTATAGATTGCCAACCCAGAAGCTTAAAAGAGAAACCTTCTTTGTCAAGGAGTGAATCAGGTCCAAAGAAAGTAGACACATTATTTGTAATGCCTAGTGCCAATGTGGATTTTAAAAAAGTCTCTATTATTTTATCCATTAATACCTTAAGATGTATAACTAATATCTTTATTTCATAGTTTAAAAATAACCTAAAGGAGATGAATTCTATGTGGCCTTAATGTTGACTTAACATAGTACCTTAAAAAACCATAACCACCTTTTTATCATGCCAAAGAAGAATATTTCCCTATTATACTCAGCTGTACCAATTTCACATTTATAATAATTTAGGTAGAATATGAATTGTAGTTTTATTCTTTCACAACTCCTGAAGAAGTAGTACTGAAATAAATTTGTAATGAAAAAACCACTTTAGATAAGGCAGCTACCTAAGGTAATACAATGTTTCTGAGCATTTTTTTGTGTGTATTTTAAAAGCATTAATTTTCTTATCAATAATTAATATGTTAATATATTGATATTTATGTTACCTTTATTTATTTTTTCAAGTGGGCTGTCTATAAGGAACTCGCCCAGGAGAACTTGACAGCTTATTTTTTATGAACGTACTTGTTTGATCTAAAAAAATTGCATTGTAAAATGTTTTAATTTATAATTTTCACTAAAGCAAACTATCCTTCTTCTCATCACCCAATTTGTACAAGCCAGTGAGGTGATCTCATTTGGGACAAGTCTTCTTTTATTATTTATGTTTCTTTCTAAAGATAGCTGATTGTTTTCCAGAATACTGTATCCTTTAGATATAGAACTTCTTTAAGAGAGGACTGTGAACCCTTTATGTGGCTGATGTTTTGCTCCCTGCTGCAGAGCACACTAAGATGCCTGCATTTTACCCAAGCTTCATTAATGGAATGTCTCTTCCAGTTTCCTTTTTTCCTGAGGGACCTTTCCTCTATTATTGTGTAATGATTGGGCCCTTGATTTTACCTGTGATTGATTTGTTTTTGCTTAAGATAATAGTTTACAGGGAAGCTTTTATATTGGTCAGAGATATTATGGCCTCATTCTACTTAAAATTCATAGTTTTCTTTGTGTAGGAAAAGTTCAAGTGTCTTAACCTGGGATATAAAGCCTCTGTGTCCACTCGTGCATCGTTCCAGTGTCATCTTCCACCTCATGCTTCATTGACTTCATCACTGCTTTCCTTCCTTCTAACTCATATATAGTTTTGTGTGTCCTTGCCTTTTTCCTTTGTTCATCCTCCTCCCTTCACCTGGAACATTCCCTTCTTCTTTGCTGGGAAGACCCCAGATTGGGTTAAACTCCTCATAGCTTACTGAGTGTGCTCTGAATGCGTTTACTTTATACTGCAATTTCTTTCCTAAATTTCTTTCATCTCAGATTATAGACTTCAAGAGGTGGCACTCTTATTATTCATCTTTGTACCCATAGAAGTTAAAGGATACCGTGGCATATGATAGATGGATGCTCAATAAATACTTTGTGACCTGAATTGAATTGCAGCTAAACAATAGTAATATGTTTAAATAATGGGAAGTAAAATTTTTGTGAAATTTGTCTAGATTAGCATCAATCACTATAACGTTAGACTTTTAAAAAGGAAGTTTAAACATTCAGCAAGCAGCTATATAATGATTCTCTTTTCTTCAAAGCTGAATTTGATTTAGCCTATATAAAACCAAACAATTATAGGTTAACAAAAGGAAATTTTCAGTGTAGTGTTTTTGATCAGTTAAGCCAGTTAGGTAATACAGACCTGGTGTGATCTACTCTGTTCTCTCTCCAAAATAAATTTGAAATATTGTCCATGTCATCACCAGCATCTTGTTTAGAATTTTTGTTGCGCATAGAATGTTTTCTAGTCTATTTTTCTTTCTTGGGATATTCTTTTAAGTAAAATATTAGTGCCCCCTAGAGGTAAACTCTAGGTGCAATGCTGTATACATATTTTTTAAAAATACTGCAAAATTCTACTAGAATTGTGTGAAATACAGAAAATGCTGTATCACCCTTGTTATGTAATTCAAGTTATGTAAGTTAATCCCAGAGTATTTCATAGTGCTTTTACTTTGCTCATCACTTCCTTTAGCACTATTGATCCAGACAGTTTTTTGTCCCATAGGGAGAAAGTATCCAAAAAGAGAAGAAGGAATGCTTTATTAAAAACTGAAAATGGAATGTTAGGGATATTGGCAGTTAGTATAGTCATCTGTGAAGGACAGTTACCAGGCCAAATGCCTATGACTCACTCCTGGGGTAAAATAAAAGCTTTTCTATGTAGGCTTTAACTGTTTACTTTCCCTTCTTTTCTTTCCCTTAAATTTCTTGCTAGATTAGATTGGAACCCCAATTCTTTCCCCTCAGTTCATTCCCGACCACCCTTTACCCATAATATTGATTTTAAATTTTTAATAGCATCCTCTTTTATTCCATTCATTTGTGCTGAGGAAACTGACCCAGTATTATAAAGTACTTAGCACAAAGTTAGGCATCTAGTAGTAACTCATGGTGTGTATGTTTTTGTTTATTATTGTTAGTGACATTTGCTTTTCGGAGAAAGATATCTTATATTTTGTAGGACATTTTCCATGTACAGTATTTCTGTGGACCCTCAGAATAATCAGCTGAGACAGGAAAAGCAGGCAGTATCGGGGATAGCCAGTCTCTCTAGATTTTTTTCAAGCATCATAGAAGTTAAATTAGTTTATTTCTGCATTTTCTTGTAAAATTCTTGAGAAATTAAGCCATAAGTCTTAAGAGTATCTTTTATTTTATACATTTTCTAAGTTGACAGGTCATTGATTTTAAAAAATGATAATAATTTGATTTAAAGATTACAGACTTTTTGTTCTTTAGGTTGAACTAGGAGTTCTCTGTTTTCCAACCTTTATTTTAAAGATAAAAAAACTGAAGCCTAGAGAGTTTAGGCTGTTGGTACCAATTCATAAGGCCAGGGGCAGAAGCGGGACTAAAATGCCTTTTCCTTTATCACAGGTTTTCTCTTTTCCTAATTTAGAGGGAGTCTTACTCCTTCACCGAGGCTGGAGTGGCATGATCTCAGCTCACTGCCACCATGCCCGGCTAACTTTTTGTATTTTTAGTGGAGACAGGGTTTCACCATCTTAGCCGGGCTGGTCTTGAACTCCTGACTTCGTGATCCACCCATCTCAGCTTCCCAAAATGTTAGGATTACAGGTGTGAACCACCGCACCTGGCCCTCTTTTCCTAATTTAGGTTTGCATGGCGTAATATTATTTTCCTTCTCTAAACATGTGTTTTAATTTTTCTTTGTTGTTGCATAAATACAATGGTAACAAATGACACCTGGTTTGGGAAAGTTTCCCTTATGTAGAGGGTTTTGTTCAGTCTGGCAAGTCAAGCTGGCAAGTCACTCCCCATCTTTAACTGTCCTGGAGTGAGAAAGACACAAGAAGTGGAATATAGAGTGAAATGTGAGTCTGGTAGGTTGTAGGCATAGTGGACCAGAGAGCACAGAATTCTCAGCACTATTACAGTTCTGGAAGCCCCCAACCCAATCATGTGCTTGGATTCTACTGTCCTTCTGTG